ATCAAGCTACTGGAGCAGTGATTCATTTACCATTTAGGTAACTTTGTTTCAATTAGATTAGTGGAATAATATGAACCGTGTTTGTGTGGTAGTGTCAGTTCTCACTCTTACATCAACGCAAAACAATAAATGACTGGTTACTTTCCACACTAAGAAAGACAGAAGACTGCGTGAGATGGCAACATGGAAATTACAGTTGATTATACAGCTCCCACTTTTCTAACACCTTCAAACACTGTTTCAGCTTTACCTTTGCTACTGAACATGCCAATGTATTGTTGTAATAATGAACTGTGGTTTCCTCAATCTATGTAGAATTCTATTTATTGACAATGTACTAACTGGATGCAATACTGTAGTAAAAATGCTGAGAATTCCATTCTGTATCACAAGTACTGTTTTGGAATAAAGCAAATTATTATTATTATTATTATTATTATTTCACTTAGCCAATATATTATTATTATTTGGTTGGATTCCGAGTGGAACATAGATCTGCAACAACACCTCTCCACGTTCTTCTATTTCCTGACTTCCTCTTCAACTGGGTCCACGATTGCCCATAATCTCACATCTACTTTTCCGCAACACACAATCTTCTCCATGTCACCCTCGCAACAACTACCCACTCACTGCCTCCCATCGGTATTCCATTCGAGAGATGGCCTGCGCTGAGCGAGATATCAATCGACATTCACCTCAGAGTGTGTCCTATGCATCTCCTATTTCTCTTAAATATTTTTTGAGCGATCTGCTCTCGCCTTCTGATTTGTTCCCAGTTAAAATTTCTTTTTGCTAATTGTTTCTGGACGACCGACTGTCTGGTCATTTGATCTTCAGTATGGAGTCAGCCAGCGAAGTGGACGGCTGTTGATAAAAGTCTGCGACTGGCTGTAGATAATACTTTTCGTGAAGCGCCAGTCGAGTTTCTGACCTATTTAAAAACAGTGACTTACTTCACAATTGTGTTGGACAGAATCCGAATCTTGTTGTTTATGCTGAGGCGGAGTGCAGAAGATTTCCAAACTGGTTTCAGCTTGATGAAGGCGTATCTTGCCGTTGTGATTCTGCCTGACTTTGACATATTCATCCCTTCCTCCTGTGGTTGAAACGATGCTTCCTAGCCAGATAAGTTAAGGCAGGAAGTGACTTCTGATGCCTTTCTTCCAGTCGGTAGGTACCTTTCCTTCCTTCCAAACCTTTTGCAAAAATGGCGTGAGAACATCTACCGCAGTCTCTGGGTCTGTTTTCAGTGCTTCGCAGGGAATTCCGTCTCTTCCTGCTGCATTCACGTACTTGAATAGCTTGATCACATTCAGGATTTCTACTTTTGTTGGAGGATTGGTGTCCACTAGGGGACAGTTCTGTGCGTGCTGTTGGTGGTGGAAATTCTGTGTGAGCTACAGGTGATGGTCGATTCAAGAGTCTTTTAAAGTGATCAGCCTACTGTTTTATTTGCTTCTCCTCCTTGATAATCAGGTTCCTTTGAATGTCTTTTGTTGGTTTCATCATCTGAGTTGGTATCTTCCCAGAGACCTGGTTATTTGAATAATGCCCCGAGATCTCTTTCACCTGCAGCCTGTTCTACTCCAATTGCCAGACAGTGTGTCGTAGAATTGTCTTTTCTGGCACTCTTCTTCACTTCTTTATTCAGTGCAGTTTACACTGAACTCAACTTCTGTTGTGCACCTATGCATTGAGCCATCTTCTCTTTCACCATCCTCCTCCTTTCTCTTCTATTAGCTTCCAGGGAGATGTCCGTTGAGATCCATTATTTCTCTTCTTCCTTCCTAAAACTGTTGTACAGTTTTCTGTGAACATCACCTTTGGAGAGTTCCAATATTTTTCTATTTAGGCTTCCACAGTGATGCCACGTAGAGTCTCCGACTTCTCTCTGATCTGATCTGTAGTGAAGGCATCCCTTGTAGTTTTGTCCCTCTGTTGAGTTTCTGAATATTAAAATTGGATTTTGGCCTGTCTCCATGTGTCTTGAGGGATTCCAGGTTCACCTTGAAGGTTCCTTGGACTAGATGATGGTCTGAGCCCACATCTGCTGCCTTTCTTGACCTTGTATCTAACAGACTGCGTCTCCACTTTCTTGAGCAGCATTCAGATGAAATCTGTCTGAATTATGGTGTGTCCGTCAGGTGAAATCCATGTTGCCTTATGTAAATGATTGTACTTGTACATGCAGTCTCCGACCACCAAATCACTAACAGCGCAGAAGTCTGCGAAGAGTTCTCCCTTTTCATCCTTTTCATAGAGCGAGAGCTTCTCGGCCCATGATGAGTTCTCCTCCTGTGTTATCTGTTCCCAGTTCAGTTGGAATTCATATTGTCCACACGGATTTTGATGTCACCATTTGGGATGTTGTCCATTACTGTTTACAATTGTCTACAGAATTCTTCCTTCCTCTTCTCTTCTGAGTCGTTTGTAGCATTGTGCGTATCATTGGATGATTGTGCCTTTCCTCCCCTGTGAGTTGAATCTTGCTGTCATTATCCTGTAGGAGGAGATTGGTTGCCATTCCACACGAGAGCCTTGTCTGCTTACTGTTGGTGACATCATGATAGCCACTCACTGCGTCAGTGTACTCGTGGTTGTCGTGTGTAGGTGGTGACTGGAGCAGATTACTGGCTCTCCAGTTGACACTTTGACTAGTCCACATCGGTTTCATCTGCTCTCGTCGATACCCAGCACTTATATGCCATATCTTCTCCTTGCTTTGGTTACTTGAGCAGCCTCCCCAGACTGTTCTGGAGGAGACACATCGGCTGACCTACTGGCTTTCCGAAGGCGGGATTTCACCAGCCCGCTGTGTCATTTCGCCTCTCCGACTCCAGACAAGATTGAGATCGTTATTTGAATTTTTTCAATTCTGAATATATTATTCTGTGCGTTCAAGTCTCTGTAGAAGTTTAATTAGTCCTCCGTGTTAGGGTCTCTAGCTCCACTCCCACCCAACCCTCCATCTTTACACGGGCTTGGCACCTGCTAGAAAACTAGCGAGCTATTCAACTAGGTGAGGCTCAGTAGATATTACTAGTTGAAGATATAAAGAAAATGATAAAAATCCAACATCGTGACCTTTAATCTACATTATGGTCAAATGTCTGTTAGTTATGGAGCCATAATAGACTTCGTCATGTTCTGACATGTATTACTTGGCAAAATTTAGTGAAACACATTTTGGTCTATCCCTTGCTATTATCTAACACTTAATTATAGTGGAACTAAGAAGACACGTTAATTACCATCCCTTTGAAATATACACATCTTACGATTTCAGTTTTTTTTCTCCGAGGAATTAATAGATGTCTTAATCATACTGAAGATGATTTCTACTTTGTACTGGGTGGTCTACCAACCACTGTCGCTACCATTTTTTTTACTCCCTTACATTCCCAGTGGGACATAGGGTGGCTTCAACTTAGAGGCTTGAAGTTTCTGCAGCAGTGGTGATTATCTTTACAGGTTGGGGTTGCTAGCCAGGCTCATGCCCAACCTTCCCTGTTTACCAGTCTTACTATTGGCTTAGCGAGGTAAAGGAGTGCATTGGTGGCCAGGGATCGAACTCCGGACCACGTGTGGCGTGGTTGACGGGTGTTCTACTGCTGTGCCACCGACACACACTGTCGCAACCATAAGATTATCAGTAAGAAACCTTATGCCTTTTAAGTCTTGTTCCCCTTCTGTCTTACACAATCAACATGGTGGCCAATAATGGTGAAAAACCAGTCTATTGATTTCCGTTTGCATGGTACAGATAAACAGACAAACTTAATATTTCTTAATATTGTAACAACGTTAACTGTCCATTAATAACTATATGGCAGATGAATGTCACTCTGTATCATAGTGAACAAACATACTCACTTTGAGGCATGAAACGCATTCCACACATGTTTATGCTGTCTCAAACGATAGTCAATAAAGTTGGCGTAATTTTACCTATATTGAATAAAGCAAGCCTGTACCTCACTCCTTTTATATTTCATCTCGTCTCTTTGATAGGCATTGATGACAGAAAGTAACAATGTTGATTGGCAGTAGGGGTATTTTTACTTGAAAATATTACAATACATGTTTAAGAGTTTGTATTTAACAATTGCAGCTTATGAGTTGAACCAGTTAACCTTATTCCAATTGTAATAATAATAATAATTTTCAAGAGTTGGTTTCTAAGGATTAGATTTGTTTTTACGAGTTTGACCACGGATTGAAATCAGTTAGAGAACCACTGAAAACCCAACACCAGATTACTGTTTCATCAGCCTAGTTTGGGAACTATCGGCAGTACGCACCCACCGGCAGAGTTCGAACCCAGGACCTCCCGGATACAAGGCAAGTTGTGACCAGTGAAGTGTGTATCTAGTCGGGAGTGAGGATGAATTTCCCGCCGATGGCATTGGTTGATGCCAGTTGCACTAAAAACCACGAATTGGTAGAATTTAGAATTCATGGGCTGGCCATTGGGTCCATCGGGTCCCAGTGACTGGACGGTATACGAACTTGTCTTGTAACCGGGAGGTCCAGTGTTCGAACCCTGACGGTGGGTGGGTACTGATGATGAGTCCCAAACTAGGTTGATGAAACAGCTGTCCAATTGGTTTTCAGTGGTTCTCAAACTGGAAAAATAATAATAATAGCTTAGTACAACTATTGAGTCTTGAATAAAATAAGTTCATAAGCTTTCACCTCAATTTCCCTAGTACATTGCATGATCTGAGATAATTTTCGATAATATTGATCGCTTTCTTCCGTCTCTTATTCGAGTGTATGCTCTTTCATTCTACCTTTTTATCTCATTACATGAGCGTATTTATACTTTAAAAAATAAATGTAATTATTTATGCCTTCCTTATTTGTGTACCCACTTTCCTATGCTAGAGTGATATTTTTCATGCAATGCATTTCATCTTTTATTTTTTTTAAAATAATTTTTGCTTTTCCAACATTCTGTTTTCGTGTCTTCATTTACTTTTCTTCTAATTGTCTAGACATTACATCAGCCTATGGCATTGAAATATGCCTGTCCATCTCAAACCACATGGATATTAGCCTGTCGATGCTTTTTTCAAGTAATTACAGCTGGTATTATCGTGATATCAAATAAATCAGTGAATATTAAAAGTAAAACATCCGTAATGATGAATAAGAAAGATTCGGTTGCGTGTAAGTTTATCCTCTTATCTCTTATCAGTTGATTATATATTCACATTTTGGTATACTGGGATTTGATTTGATTCGTTACAGGATTTCCATTATGAACTGACATCGATTAGAGGACAATGGAAAACTAACAGCTGTTTCGTCAGCCTAGTTTGGGACTGACGCTTCATCACAGTACGTACCCACCATAGGGGTTCGAACCCATGGCGAGCTCATAGACCATTAAGCCACTGGGATCTAATCCAATGGTCAGCCAGCCCATGAATTCCCACTTCTGACAATTCATGATATGGCGCCATTGCCACTAGCGAATGTTATGAGTGGCGAGTATTTGTCCTCACACTCTCACCTGCTGCACCCCAGTGGTCACTATTTCTCACCAGAACCCGGGTAACTAACTACCTAGCAATCTATCTGAATAGGGTCAGTCACTGGTGAACATCAGATTGATATTCAGGTGTTGCTTTGTAGAAATTTGATTGCTTTTAGGATTTCATCGTGAAATGAAATCGATTAGTTTATTACATTAATTATATATGAAGATAATGATGTACAGTCGTATTTTTTTTTCTGCTTCACTTTCGAAGGTTGTTTGTGTTTTAGCTATTCATAACTGACTTCATGTTGCTTGATAGAGGAAAGAACTGTGAAGTGTAACATTATCTCTGTACTAATGACTGATTGTGCGTCAGTAGTAGTTCGTTAGTAAAGTGCTTCTGAACCGTGCATGTTGTCGTGGTTCGATTCACGATCGACCCACTCCTAAACCTTGCTTAGGCAGTAGGGTGTAAGCCAGGTGAATAAGAAAGGATGGGAGTGAGGCTAACAATATTATCACTGCTACTACAGAAAGATCAAAGCTCAAGCTATGCTCCACTGCGAACACAAAGGAATGATAAAAAAGGGTGACTGAGTTATTATTTAAAACAAGCAATAAAGGTTAATAAAGCAGGATTTAATGAATTCATCAAATTTTGGTAGAACTCGTCAGCTGAATACTCTACATACGCAGATATAGGACTGATAAGTAAACAAACTACATTGAATTAGTCATGCAGAAAGACAGGTGCGAATGTTTTTCCAGGTCATGGTCAAATAGATAAGGGGAGAGAGAGAGCTGACGTGTTCTACCGAAATTTGATGAATTCATTAAATCCTGCTTTATTAACCTTTATTGCTTCTTTTAAATTCGTATCGGGAAATAAATGTTTTCAATTCTTGATGAGTTATTATTATTATTGGCGTTACCACAATTCTAACTATAAGGCATTATTTGTGATGACTTGTAGAAAGATAGTATTTGATTAGCGGTGGTGACTAGTAGTGGAATCAAGGCTTCACATTTCGTCCTTCTTGGGGAACTGTCGGTTGGATAGACCTAAATCCCTAAACATCAATGGTGATGATGATGGTGATGAAGTCCTTACGAAGACTCAAACCTCAGCATCTATTATTAATTGGGAAAAGACCGTTAAAACACTGGCGGTGGTGGTGGGAAGATAAAACAGTATGGCTGAACTAATCAATTCCTGAAAGACGACATGTCAGCTGTTGACGTCTTACCTTGAAATTTGAATATAGAGTGTAATTAATTAAACATATGATTTCAAGGGTGTGTATTTCGAAAATGTCAAATTTAAACAAAGTCAAAAAGTCTTCTTTATATAAAAAACAGTTTGAACGAATTTATCCACAAATCTGTCTGAGTTATCTTGATGTCTAGTCCTGGGTTTGTATACATGTTCAGTTGATTTTAACAAGAAGACATTATTCATGAATTGATTAACAGAATTTGTAGACACAAACGAAAACATTGAACTCTGACCACCAAACAGCTGGTTAACCACGCCACACGTGGTCCGGAGTTCCATCCCCCGGCCACAGATGCACTCCTCCGTTACCTCGCTAAGCCAGTAATAAGACTAGTGAAAAGGGAAAGTTGGGCATGAGGGCTGGCTAGCAACCCCATCCCGTAAAAACAAACAAAATGCACTGCTATCGGGACTTCAAGCCTCTAGGTTGAAGCCACCACCCTATGTAAAGGAATGACAAAAAACAACAGCCGATAATGGTAATGTGCTTCCTCTACAAACTATAGCTGTCTTACCCTAAGTTGGATTTCTAGTCGAGTACATAAAATATTTTGACCTGTTGTCACAGTTTTGTTTAATAGATCTTTTTTTTTAAATTTCTACTATTTATTCTTATATGTTTGTTTATGTGTATAGATACTTCGTCTAATCATGCTTTATGCAAACAAATTGTGGATACTATTCAAGATTTTCTTTTCTGTCAAAAGTAAGTCATCTATAAAATACAAAATAATTGAGCAAAGAATATCCTTTTGGATGATTTTCTCTTCTGGCTCTATAGTTACACTTATGTTTATATACACAGAATATTCTAGAATAGTAGTCAATAACAATATTTGTGATTTTGTCTTAATAAGAACGATTTATTAAGTAAGATCAATGGAATTACAGTTGATTAAAGGCGCTTAAATTATGATAATGATAATAATATAATAGCAAATATAATATCAACTAATATTAAGGAAATTTCTACAAAATATTGAGGATCATTCGAACCTAGATGGTCATATTGTGTGAAACGTTAGAACATGAAAGACTTGGTAAAAGAATGTTTATTTGATGAACTGATTTTTTTCACAGGAATGGTTACTACTGAACAAAGAATGTTCTTTTCGATAACTCCTTCATCGGGTTCTACAGTTACATATACATAATAGAGAATAAATTTGTGTTATTAACAACAGTATTGTTGCTTAGATAACATCCAAGCAATCGATAGTATGAATAGATTACAGTCCCATAACATCAACATAACAATACACATTGAATATCAGATAAACAAATTAGGAAAAACAATAATATAAATTCATGAATTTCCAATCTCTACTGCTGGGAAATTCTCGAGCGAAGACGAATCCAAAAAAAGAATTATCATTGCCTTCCTAGATGTCCTCCTTACAGGAAAACCAGATAGGAGTATAAAGAGAAATTTGCATAGGAAAAGCGCATGGATAAGCCAATATACACATTTCCACAGTTTCGTTCCTCTCCAGTACAAAAGAAATTTAATAATCACCCTCACAGCTACAGGGTTAGAGCTATATATTCAGAAGAGGTAATTAAGATGAATTTAGGACTGTATATTACACATCAGGAATCATATGATTAGGAAAGTTGAAAACGACTATTCACTCACTATCCGTAAACAAGAAGCCTTTATACACACCACTGTAATTCAAGGCCGATACACCTAGCGAAATAATTCCTAACAAGTTAAGAAAATCAGTTCAAAGAACTAGTGCTGGTAAACTACAAGTCTTATTTTCTACACAACTGATGGTGATTCCTCAATTGAAAGATCAAGTACCTAAACTAGACTAGCCACTTCTAATTATGTCTACTAATTCAACTGAGCTTTCGGTGGAGCCAGTTATACTGGCCGTTGCTCTAGGAACTGGCTTTTTTTTCTCGCTCGGGACCACGTACATGTGTGGTGTGGCTAAATAAAGGTGTAGTGAGAAGCATCAATAGCTCGATATTAGACCACCTGGTCCAAACCGACCACAAAGCCAGCCAGCATTTAAGAATCCTTCTATATCATGTACTGGGTACCAAATAAATTGCCAAAAACATCCAGGTACTGCATACTCTGAAACAGTGGAGGATATCGCGATCTACCTTAAACAACTGGTGCTCTGTGTGTAGCCAGGCGCTACTACTACCCTGGCCGGTCTTCAGGGGAGACTAGAAATCAATGAATTCTGTATTACTATTCTTTTTCCTAATTTGTCTGATATTCAGTGTGCATTGTTATGTTGATGCCATCGAACTGTAATCCGTTGATATCATTATTATTGATCCGATGTTATTTAAACAACATTAATGTTGCTAATAACACTGATTCATTCACTATTATGTATGTGTATATAACTGTAGAACCTGATGAAGAGTAAGTTATCGAAAAGAATATTTTTTGTTCAGTAACCATTGTTTTGAGAATGTTTCTATGCAAATTGGTATCTCTATATTGCTAAATTATGTACACCATATCTTCAACGCATCATTTGCACAGATCTCCCATGTTGTTGTGCTACTTCTGGCTTTCCTTCATATTTTGTTTCTTTCCGTTCCTTTGACGTCTCCCATGTATCTGGACAACACTGTATCATTTGCTTTCTCTGTATCTCCCTCCTTTTTGATGTTGTTATGCTGGTGAACATCTCTTTATTTACATAGATATATACTACTGATAAATCTTATCAGTAGCACTCGCCACAACATGTTGAAAGATGTTTTTGAAAAAAATGCTAACTCAAGTTGTCACATAGTATACTTTTTTATGTATTCTGCGGTTATTTCGTGTTAAAAGCTCATGTATTCTGTCTCTAGGATATCTTTTTGATGAATTAGGAGGAACAAAGTTTGAATCCGGGATGTGTTTTCTTCGAATATCGAATGGAATGATTAGTCTGTCAAGTGGAACTGTGATGCATATACATATCAGTTATCTGCGATACAGTTTTTACTGTATCAAAGAAGCTGAAGCCACACTGGTCTTATAAAGTCTGACTATTTTTACTTAGTTTTCCTGGCTGAATTATGTGGAGTGGGACTCGAACTCTTAGCTCATCGACTGACCAAGGAGTGTTTAAACCCACCAGTGAACCACATCTCCATGCCAATATTTTAAAGATGGTCAGTCCCGGGGATGAAGTTGACTTCATAGTTCGTAGATTCTGCCATCACATGAAACTACGTGAACATTACATACTAAGTTTATTATAAAACATCTATTCAATGAATTGTGTTATAAAAAAAAAGATTTCATTCTATATCTGCAAGTTGTTTCAATGTTCAAGACACAACGATTTTCAGATGGGAATTTATTTCCTCCTTATAAACAAGTGAAGTTATCATTGTTTTTTATCATCTAGGGTAACTTTTGTTTTTATTTAAAAAGAAAAAAATCGGAACACGGCATATTTTCTAGTTTTGAGCTTTACTCAAATAACACGGCGTGTGAAACTTAATTAAAAAAATGATATGAGATAATAATAATAATAATGCATTATTCACATCCTAATGCTTTCTTTTTCTTCAAAATTTAATTGAAGGAAAACATGAAACCTTATCGTTTATTGTTTTTGTTTTTTTTTGAATTTCTGAAATAAATGAACTAACACCCTGACTGACCACTTGAACTAGTCGGGGTGGGGGGGGGGGAAGATGTATCAACCAGTCCCATAAGCTGACTGATCGCTGACGAAATTTTATTTCGGATACAGAAGAGTCGTTTAGTATATGTCAGCCAACTTACGCCATCTCTGGCCTAGTAGACTTCATATGAGGCTGGCTGGTTATCGAGCACCACTTGACTCCATCCTCCTTTATGGCGGTGAGTGAGACATAGCCATTGAAAGTTGAAGACATGAAAAGCCTAGCTGACTGGCTGGCTAGGTGTCTGCTTTCTATCTCCCGTATGTGTCAGGTGGTGGTGGTATACTAGGATAAGCAATATTGAGGTTAGGCATCGGTGGTCGAGTGGTGGGTAGGTGGTAGGGGAAATCAATCGACAAGGTGGTTGTGAAGCTACCACATCGATTGAGAGAAATTGTTAGGACATTTGTTACGCATGCATGCATGACTAGCCATCCATCTCCTTCCTTGATGACATGCTATTTTAGCTGACTGATGGATCAGGTTGGAAAGGAGTTAGCTAGTGGTGGTCAAACAAAAACATGGCTTCATCAGTCTTTGAAATCCACAACAGTTAGTTTCAGCCAGCCAGTCACGTAGGGTGGGAGGTGTAGACTGCCTTGCAATCTGGTTGGGGTCATCGGGATAGTAAAAACGAACAATGGTCGGAGAAAATTGGTGATATGACTCAAAATCGTCGTTGTCAATGGCTGTCGCAGATGCGTTGACTCTTTGTGATTTATAAAATCCAACAAAACTCTATTGATCTTCCATATTACTATTCTTTTTACTTCACTCACACTTCTGTTTATTATCTTTCTCTGTTCATGAATCTCTCATTACTCTCTTCGGTTGTTTTGTGTGGTACAAAGAAGGAGTGTGGCAAGTGGAACTGGTGCACACCAGTGTAAAGTTCTACATTGAAACCAGTCAGTCAGAACCAACACACTAGCAAACACACTCTCTCTCTTCCAAGTTTCCAACTTACTCCATTGTCGTCTGAGGATTTCGCAGATTGTCTGTCTCATCAGCTTGTCTACTCTTGGAAACTAGGTCTTTTATCCTTTCTCTATTTTACTTTTAGTACACCTTTAAGACAGTGACGTGTTACTAGAAAACCAAAAGAGAGGAAACAAAGTCATCTTTTTCATAAAAATTAAATCTGAACAAATGTCTATAAAAAAACAACCCTTGATGACCTACCTACACTGGTTACCATAAATAGAAAAAAAGATAGACTGCGCGCAGTAAGCGCAAGAAATTCTTAGATTATCAGATGTAGACAGTCATGTTGTGGTGGTGTGATAGAGATAATGTATGCCAACGTAATTTCATCCCCAAAGTTCACTACTGCATTGGCAACAGAATGCCATATATGTGTATTTGAACATTCTATTTCATGTCGTTTAATGTAAACCGAAATCACAAGCTCAGTGATTGGTTAAAGAATGGAAAACTGCATAGATATATAAATAGCGGTTTGATCAACTGAGAATACACGTTTACGACAAATGAAAATCGCATGGCCTGTGGTTTTTGATGAAGGAGACATATGGATCTTCGGGGAGGACTTCGAGGCTGTGTGCGGAGTTGAATGGAATTCAAGATCCGTCAGCGAAGAGTCTTTTACTTGGAACGCTGCTGAGAGGTTGGGCTAAGTCATCATATGATAGTATGAGGCGAAACACTGGTGAGTACGCGCCAGGGTCATGCTAACTACTTCCAAAGTGGAAAGGACCATACAAGGTCACGTATATACAACCAGAAATGTAAACAAAGAGAAGCGGGTAAACGTCAGGAAGTACATATTCAGCCACATGAACAATTTCATATCAATGCAGACTGTGATCGTCGATCATATAAAGATGATGGGTGGATGGTTAAAATACCACGTGATTAAGTGGAATGGAATAAAAGCTTTTGTTAAAGTGGTCAGTTAGGATGAAGTTAGTAATTGACAAGTAGGCATTCTAGGATTACAAACGAATGTTGCAAATCGAATAGAGGCGTTAAATCAACAATACACTTGTGTAAGAGTTAAACAGTTCAGTTGAATAGTAGAGGTGATGATAATGAAAAAATTGAAGATTAGGAAATTAGGCTGTCAAAACAAAATATAATTAGAATGGCAAAATTGACGAAAACCACCATGTATATATATATATATATATATATATATATACAATATGGCTGCATAAATTTATCGCTATCTATATTCCTAACTTGATCTCTTTTTTAACCTCTCTTCAAATAAATCATTTGACCTTTCCATATATGAGTGTAGTGTTGATTTTATGCATATATCAAGTAAAAAACTGATCTACTATTATGCGTTCTGTATGGTCAGGGGTAGATGATTAAAGGATGGCTTAATTTTATCAACGCAACCACTTATTATTATTGATATCAGTTAGAGAACCATTGGAGTACTGTACAGCCATATGTTTCATCAGTCTAGTTTGGGACTCATCAGTAGTACGCACCCACCGACAGGGTTCGTACCCCCAGACCTTCTGATTACAAGGCTAGCTAGCTCGTAGACCATTCATCAGCCACTGGGACCTGGTCGATTCAATGGCCAGCCAGCTCATGAATTCTAACTTCTGCCAATTCATGACACAGCGCAACCACTTCGCAATGTCTTCTTCGATGAGTTATTGCCTCACCGTCAACATGCTGTACCCTACTAGGGTCACGGCTTCCCACTAGAATCGTAGGTTAACTGCTCGAAGTCTATATTTAAAAAGTACGAGATAATATAATGAGATGCTGTCTGGTATTCCGTCGTTATCATCCTTTATAAGGATATTAACACCGTGTTTTTCTCTTTTCTGATTTCTACTCACAACTGTATTTTTCTAGTCAACCTCCGTCATCGCTATCCATTGAGGAGTTTCAACTTCATGAAGAATTAGACTGTAAAGTAAGTTTACTTCAGTTTCTCATTTTATGGCTTGATTTTAATTCTAAAATGTTTATTATCAGCAGAAAAGGAGATATTGTATGTTTTATTACAGGATTTCATCATGAGCTGACATTGATTAGAGAACCGTTGGAAAACCTGACAGTACTGGACAGCTGTTTTGTCCTAGTTGGGGACTGACTCTTCAGCGGTGCACACTCATTGGGATTCGAACCCAGATATTGTATGTAATTGTTGTTAGATTTAACTTTGTTGAGTTTTGTAAATTAGACGTGGAATTTGCTGGCGTATATATATATATATGTATATACATACTCAGGCACTGATGAATAGTGTTCATATCTACAAAACTTGGACTTTGTATACCGTTGAATTTGGTTGAAATAGCTTAGCGAAAAATTTCATCGTTTTTGATGTAGTTGTGTTCTCCAAGCTAGCTGGATGGTTTATTTGAGAAGATTTCATTGTCCTACTTGCTAGACAACATTTTCAGCGCATACGCTTCAATTTGATGAAGTCAGATTTCAGATTTCTCCTGTGAGTTTATGAGTCATCTCTCCTGGTCACCACCTTGAACCTCATGATTGGTTGTGTTATGATGCTGGATCCGTTGTCACGCGGTCACTGCTTAACATACTGACCAGTACCCACTTAACTGGTAAAGCAGAACACGAAGAGAATCAACTGTAAAACCGGGTTCATTTATTATGACAAAAGTGACTGTATTTATACAGAAAATAAGGTAGACTGGAAATCAACCAATCCGGTTGGGAGTTTGAATTGTGCAAGCGTCCAATCAGAAGCAGGAACAATTGCATGTCAACGACTTGCTAATAACGCGATAATAACTTGACTGATGGCCTGATAATTGCATGTGTTTTGCCTCTTCCTAACAGGTTGTTTTTGTGTGTTTTCATACACCCAAGGCTACCTGTGGTATTGGTACTGATTGTTTCCTTGATCTGAAGTTTAACCCTTTGTGTGCATGAGATTTCCTTCTTGTCGATTGGTAAATTTTGTCTATGTCGGTGTGTCTATTGATTGACAATTCATTGGAATACTAGGCTTGTCCCAGTTGAATTGATGCCCATGGTTGAACGTTAATATATTAGGCAGAGGAAACCCTAAGAATGCTAGAGAATTTGTAGAAGCCTGGTATTCCAGTGAATCGTCAATCAATAGACACATTGACATGGACAAAATTTACCAATCCATAAGAGGAAAATCTCATGCACAAGTAGTAAAACTTCAGCTCAAGGAAGCAATCAACACCAATACAAGTAGACTAGGAGGTTTGAAAACACACAAAGACAACCAATCACGTTCAAGGTAGTCACCAGAAGAGATGAGTAATAAGCTCGTGGAGGAATCTAAATGCTCACTTCATCACATTGAGCTATTCACTGATTATGTTGCCTAGTAGGGCAATGATAGCTTCTCAAACAAATCATCCAGCTAGCTCGGAGAATACAACTACATCAAAGTCATCAAGCTGAGCTAGAAATCGGCTCCATCATAATTTGATCATTTATTGTTGAAAAAAATATTAATTCACCAAATCGCCTAAACTCTCTTATCTCATCGGTCATTTATTCACATTGTCTTCAATGCACATTCAAATCATATAACCACTTGACAATAAAATGTGATGTGATTGAAAATGTCAACAATACAAAATTGTGTGTTGAACTAATGTCGTCTTTTAAGCACTTTCTGTGAGTGCATAATTTATATTTTGATTATTCGCCTAGTGAAAGCTAGTCTATCTTTATGTCAGCACGAAGAGAGAGAAAGAGGCAAGTAGTAGGTGGAATGAAGTGAAAGATAGTGAATGCCTGTTTGAATTTCGCCTCTTCATGTCCACGATGGATGTATATAATCAAAAAAAGAATTTCGTATATGCTTTCAAGATTCATGTTTGTTCTCTGATGTATGCTCGAAAAAATATGGTCCGTAAAATTTAAGATACACTTCTTTTTCCATTGGTTCACACCTCTTTCTTATTGAGGTCATTGCTGACTCGATTCCGAATACATCGCTAGATGCTACTTTAATATACTACTACGTATTTACTTGCTTGAATTGATTATTTCAATTTCTCCTTTGTTTTTTGTTTTCGTCGAATACCATAGTTTGTCGATTTAATCAGTGATTTATTCCTGTCAAATCCTGCACAACTACCAGAGTTCTTTATTAGCCGACTAATTAATATACTCAGTGTTGGCTCTGTCCAATCAGCTGTACCTGTCAGTATCACCAATAATGAAGGCGATCACAATACTCCTAGTGGTGAAGATGCTGATTTGATGAATGGATCACATCAATTGAATTCATCTTTTGATCACTCCGACAATAAGTCAACAGCGCCTACAACGATGCATTGTCAGCCAGCTGAATTGAATAGTGAAGTTAAATTCCCTAAAGGAGGATTAGGTCGTGCTGTTCGTCAAATGAATTTTTTAACCACTGAATTGCCTCAAGATCCTTTGATGAATGAATCACTCGCTTGGGATATTGATTTAGATCGTTTAAGACAATTGAGTTTTCGTGAAAAATTTGCTCGTTTATGCTTTAGTAAATTACTGTCGCATGCTTTCTCATCGCCGACAAATTCAAGAACATCAACAACAACAACACAAATACGATTAGATAATAATTCAATTGATGATAATACTAACAATTATAAAGTAAATGCAATGAATACAAGTTTTTCTCTAATGGTTAGCAAAACAGCTGTACGTAGTATTCTGCAACGATGTCGTCTGGTATTGATTAAATTCTATCAAGCTTCACGATTAGTTGGCAAGTGTCCATTACCTCGGTGAGTTTTTAATTTTGTGTTTGAATTCAAATGAGGTCAGTGTATTTGTGAAGATTGTTTGTTTGTTTCATCGACTGTTATTATCCATTGTTAATATTGTTAGATAGAATTAAGTTACTTAGATTTATGTCAAGTTATGTAATTTAATCTAATCCAAGACTGTTCAACTGGCTAATTGGATTTGCTTTGATTGCCCTCCCATTTTTTTAAAAAAAAAAAGAAATTACTGTTGGTTGATATCTCCTTGAAAGTTGAATTTCCAAATTCCCATTTATGCATTTAGAAAAAAAACAGATTAGGCGAAGAAATATATTCCTCTTCAATTCAATTACTTCTTCATCATCGGCTGGCTGGCTCTACACCAATATATAGTCGTTTTTTACATCAAAATCCTTTTACCAATCAAGTGATTGTTTTAGTTAACCAGTTTTATGTATAGGCGGATGGGGTTGGGTGGGTGAAATTAATAGGCTAAAGGTAATCAAGACAATTAACTAATAGATGTCATAGGAATTAATAAAAAGACGGTTGCAGCGAAGAGACATGCATATACAAATTCACTTGCTCGTGTGGAGTTGAGTACATTGGCCGTACCATGCGTCCGCTTGTAAAACGCGTGCGGGAACACTATCCAGCATGGTTAGCAAAGGAAGAACGCACAGGGGTGTATATTTCGATAACAGAACATTTGGTGAATTCTAGACATTCAGCCCCATTTGAAAAGTCTATCAAAGCCATATACAAGATCCGATCCAACCTTCAAAGGGTGTTAAATCAAGACATCTAGGAATAGCTGAAGCACTGGCGATCCAAAAACTCAATCCTACTCTATAAGTCCAAAAGAAACGCATCCAACCGTTGTCCCTACCGTGGCTATCATGAAAAGTCAGTCTCACCAATAATGATTATCCTATTACCTTTCTTGTCCAACCTTCCCGTTTATTTGTTATATTTACCTTTTTAAATCCCTATCTGCATTATTAGATTTGGTTACTGTTTTTATCTTTATATATCCGAACCTCCTACCCATTTCGTTAATACTACGTCATTAACCCGTAATTATAAAAACTGACGAGTTTTCTGGTAATTATAATCCTATTTTGTCTTTTCTACCCGATCTTCCTGATTATTAGACATTGGAGTTTTTAATTTGCCCTTTGACCTGAAATATTTCTATCTATCTTTTCTTTCTTACACCTAACAATTTTATTAATCTGACCTCTGGAACTTTCTCACACACATGTACTATAAGCACGCGAATGTACAGCCTAGTTGATTACTTTGTCGAAAAGAAAATTTTGTTCTCTGAAACCGTTTTTTAATACATGTCATTAACAAGATATCTAAGTTTTGAAGGAGGGAGGAGTGAAAGCTGATTAATTACGGAATTCAAGATAAGTTGATTCATAGGCGTCAGCAACAAGTTATTACATAATTAAGAAACTTGTAAAAGAGAAATGATGACTAAAAAGAATAGGATGACTCAGAAGAAGAAGAAGAAGATTGTTAGTTTGGTCGACTATTATTATCCATTGTTAATATTGTTAGATAGAATTAAGTTACTTAGATTTATATGAAGTTATTTTTTTATTCCCCTTTACGTTCACAGTGGAACATAAGTTGGCTTCAAGCTAGAGGCTTGAAGTTTCGGTAACAGTGGTGTTTATTTTTACGGGATTGGGGTTGCTAGCCTCATGCCTAACCTACCCTCTTTACCAGTCTTATTACTTACTGGTTTAGGGAGGTAAAGGAGTGCGTTGATCGGGGGTCGAACCTCAGACAGCATGAGGCGTGGTTGGCGAGCATTCTAACACTGTGCCACCAACGCATATGTGAAGTTATTTAATATTATTTTTTATTATTGTTCCCTTGGGTTCCTAGTGGAACATAGGGCTTCAACTGCACGTCTCCACTTGCTTCTGTCTCCTGCTGTTGTATGACATCAAGTGACTATCAGCAACAATGTCACTGATATGGCCCAATGGGATACCACTCGTCCTACTGACAGTCTTAAGAGTTCTACGAAGTATGACATAGTCTTTTTTAAGCAATTCAGGAAAGAATAAGGGTGAACAGTAAAGAAGAATAGGTAAAATACACGAGTTGAAAAACTGTAAGAGGAGTGGTTGGGTTATGCCTGAGTGCCTTAACTTCTTAATGTAAAAAGTCAGACGAAATATTCTTTGAGAAATCGCTAAGACACGGGGGAGGACCAGGATAGGTCAGAAGAAAGAATTAATCCAAGATACTTAACTTCAGACTGGGCTTCTATATCAGTATCATCAATTTTGCAAGGACCATAGGAATCAACGGCTTCATTTAACTTTCGTTTACATCAGAAACTGAAATTAACAGTCTGACATTTGGAAGGATTTAGTTTGAGGCTGTTAGACGAAGACCATTTGTTTAGGTATAGGCGGATGAGGTGTGAGTGAAATTAAGAGGTCATCAAAAGTCATCAAAACATCAATTGACTAATAGATGTCAGTAACAAGATATCTAAATTTTGAAGGAAGCAGAGGTGAAAATTAATTATTTACGGAATTCAAGATAAGTTAACTCATAGGCGTGAATAACTAGTTATTACATTATCGAGAAATTTGTAGGATGACTCAGTGGAATTACGTATGATACAAACAAACAATTTAATAAAATCAGCTAGAATTATAAAAATTAACAAAGTCAAAAGATGAGATAGTTGCAAGTAGAGGAGAAAAATCGTTTTTAAAAACTTAATACACATTATGTAGTTGGCCATAGCAATGGAAGAGGCTGTACAAATTCCTTTTGAACGCACACACACATTTGGCTTGTTCAGATGAATTCTGATTTCCTCGGCTGTATGTAAAAGTTGTACTCGTGGACCATTTGGTGAGAGGTTGAGTGAAATACGATAAATAACTTCAAAAGCTTTGCTAGAGTCAACTTGATGTCCAGATGTTGAGGAACTAATTGAAAAGGCATATATTTCTTCTCTCAATCTGTTGTTTGTTTGTTTTTCTAAAGTTGAATTGGTTGCCTCAATGTATGATTGACACTAAACATTTAATTTAAAATTTAATTGTAGATGTGTTTATATGTGCTTGTAACTGCTGCATGCAGTGTAGGCAGAATAGGATTATGTAGTAGCAGAGGTAAGGAATGGAAATCAATCGATGAGGTTGTGAAGTTGAGCACACGTGTTGCACATGCTAAATCACCGCCTTCCTTAAAGAACAATGTTAACTGATATAGTGTAACGGTAAATTTAGTATCTCTATATAGCTAAATTACATACACCTTATCTTCAATGCACCATTTGCACATATCTTCCGTGTTGTGCTACTTCCCTCCTTCCTTCATATCGTGTTCTTTTAACGTCTCACATTTATCTCTGCAATGCTGTATCAATTGCTTTCTCTGACTGACATCAAATCTATCTCCCTCCTATTTGATGTTTTATGCCGATTAACCTCTCTTTATTTATCTCTACTACTGATAAGTTTTATCAGTAGCATACGCCACAGTATGATTAGGATGCAAAAAATTAAGAGGTGGTCAAACTGAAAGTTGACATCAGTCCATGAAGTCTCTTTCTTACACAGTTGGTTTGTGCCACGTAGAGTGTGGGTATGTGTGTGTGCAGATTATTGAGTGACTGAGAAACTCTAGAGTACTAAACATCTATTTCGTCTTGGTTTACAACTCTTCAGTCGTAGACACACCCTCGACGCCACGACGTATCGAATCAAGTGGGTGAATTGTAATCAGACATTATTTTGGTTGGTCGTTATATAAAGTAGTCATGTAGAATGAAGCACCTTCTCATAAATCTTTATTGAAGTTAAGATACAATAAAAAAGAAAGCCCAATGGGTCTTTCAACTAGTTACGTTAAGTGGTGAGGTAGACTAATGAATTCAAGAATTAAGAGGCTTATAATCAGTGAATAGATGGTATTAATACACGCACGCATCACGTAGGTAGGTTACACCAAAACGTGATATGTTCTATATCTGTGCGTCGGTGGCACAGCAGTTAGGACGCTTCTCAACCGTGCACATGGTCTGGGGTTCGATCCCCCATACCTCATATCGATGGTCGGTTTGCTAAATTTGGGCTACCGATGTCACATGCTGAAAATTCCATAGCTGCACGAAAAATACTGTGTGGAATCAAACTATAATCAAAATAAAATGTGTTTTCATCAAATGAAAGTGTCAGTCTGTCTGTTTTCGACATAGAACTTTGCACATATGTGTGGCAGTTCAAGTTGCCGCACTCCCTCCTTGTAGCACACAAAGCAAGAGAAGAAAGTACGAGAAACGCATAAAAGAGACAGTAAACAGAGGTGTGAGACAAAGGTATAGCAATAACGAAGAACAAAACAGTTTCATTGGAAATCAGAAGTCACAAGGAGTGGATGCATCTGCGCCACTGAGAACGATTTTGAGCCATGTCACCAATTGTTTCCAACCATTAGTTTTTACCCTCCCGAAGCTTTCGTCGTCCAACCAGCTCAGAGAACACTATTAATTGCAAATCATCCACCTGAGCTACAAATCTTCTCTGTTGTAGATTTCATTGACTGGTGCCATGTTGTCGTTCGACCGCAGCTAGCTCTTTTCCATCCTGACCCTATATCAGCTAACATTGCCCGTCGAGGAAGGCGATGACTAGGCATACGTAACACATGTCCTAACCATCTCAGTGGACGTAATTTCACCGTTTCGTCGAATGATTTCTCCGCCTTACCTAGCACTTGAGTGTTGCCTAACCTCAATATTGCTCACCTTGTTATTGCACTTCACGCGGGAGACAGAACGCAGACACCTATGATCAAAGACAGCTAATCTTTTTATGTCTTCCGCTCTCAATGGCCAGGTCTCAAAGCCACAAAGGAGGATGGAGCGGACTGCTGAGCAGTACATATGCCCTTTGATCGATAGTCGGATATCACGTCTACGTTAGAGACGGCGTAAACTGGCATATGCGAAACTAGCCCTCTGTGTCAGTCATTAGGAGACTCTCACAGTAATAATGTCTCTAAACTTATCATAATGGTGTGTAAACGTACACATTTAGTGTTTATTATTATTACTATTCTCAATGACTGCTTTTACTCTTCCCTCCTATGTGATCGGTGTCTCCTTAGTTCTCTATCCTATTTCGAAGTTGCTGCAATCACATGAACACTGATACACTTCCGTGGAAAATGTTTTTTCCCCACACTAATCCTAGGTTGTTTCCTTTCGTGTTGTGTTAGTTTCTGTATGGTGCACCTAACGCCTGCCTCCCTGTCTGTCTGTGTTTATTATTACTTTGAATAGTTTTATTTCATGTTGACGTGGAATATTTTTATGTAGTTGGAAACTACAGGAGAAAAGTGTTTTTTGATCTTCAGGATGCTTTAGAGGGGAGCGGGCCGTAGAAATGTACAACATTTATAATTTCCTGTGTTTGCCTACATATTTGTTGTTTTTTCTTCTTACACGCTATTCTCTTCTTTTCTTCTTTTTTTGATATTTTTTTATTTCTGTTTTTCACAATTTCACTACAAGGAAGTAGGTGGTTAAGTTGTCACACAATAAGAGATTCCACCTTACGTGCAAAAATATAATCAGTATTTATTCAAACCTTTGCTGTTAGTTGATTAGTTCCAACGTACAACAACTTTGCACAGATGTGCACACCAGTTCCACTTTCCACACTCCCTCCTTGTACCATACAAATCAACCGAAGAGAGTAATGAGAGATTCAAAACAGAAAGAGATATAATAAACAGAAGTGTGAGTGAGGGAAAAAGAATAGTAATATGCAAGAACAATAGAGTTCTATTATATATAATGAATCACAGGGAGTGAATGAATCTGCGACAGCCATTGACAACGACGATTTTGAGCCATATCACAAATTGTCTCCAGCCGTCACTGGTTTGTACCATCCCAAAGACTCCAGCCAGTCAGGAGCGCTACACCTCCCCCCTCCTACGTGACCGGCTGACTGAAACTAACTGTTGGGGATTTCATTGACTGATGAATCCATGTTTTCGTTTGACCACCACTAGTTAACTCCTTTCCAACCTGATCCATCTTATGTCAGTCAGCTAAAATTGCAAGTCATCAAGGAAGGAGATGGATGGTTGGTCATGCATGCGTCACACATGTCTTGACCATCTCAACGGTGTAACTTCACAACCACCTCTTTGATTGATTTCTCCTTCCTGGCGCTCAACCATCGATGCCTAGCTTCAATATTGTTCATCCTGTTATACCACCACCAATCACCTAACACACACGGGTGATAGAACGCAGACACCTATGATCAAAGATGGCTAGCTATCCAGCCAGGTTTTTCATATCTTCCAGTTTCAATGGCCATGTCTTACAGGTGACCAAAAAGCAGGATGGTGTGTGAGTAGTACACACGCTCTTCGCTCGATAGCCAGTCATCCGAACATCACGTCTACTAAGCTAGAGATAGCTGGCGCATGCCGAACGAGCCTTCTGTATCCATGATGAGATTTCGTCAGCGTTCAACCCGCTGATAGGGCTGGCTGATGCAAACTCCCCCTCCCCCAAAAATTAAGTGAAGTGGTCAACACACTCCATCAGCCACTTCACCACCTCCCTATCTTTAAGCTAGGAGTGAGTTGACGCAGTCCATTCAAACCCTTGTAGCATCATCTTACATTTGACATCAGGAGCGAATCGCATGCCAAACATTCGTAGACTGCTCATTGCCAAAGGTTCCCAGAAGACTCTGCTCTATTTTGTCAGCATCTTCACCTAGAGGGACTAAGTCGACGAGATTATACCCTGGTAACAAGTTCATCTCTGAGTTGCTGTTTTTGGCTCCACAAATATCGCATAGTTTCTTTAGCAGGTGAATTTCGACAGAGTAATTTTTACCGGATATATTGACATCTCTACCAAATGATGGTTGACCAACAGGTGGAAGTTTTTAAACTACTCACCGTGTATATCTCCCTACGACACATTGACTTCAGTATTGTTAGTGTAGGTTTCAAATAGAGCATGTAATCTTGAATCAAAGGTCGAATCATCCAGTTGTTGTTTTTTTGTTTGTTTTGTTTTGTAGCTGGTTGTTTTGCTTTGATGGTGTAACGTGTTTATAATCTCTTGCGAAGGAAATATTCCCAATAAACCTTCTAGTTGTACAAGTGTTAATGGATTTTGTGTGTAGGTCATTAACAACTTACAGTCAGAAAACAGTCTCTTGTTCAAGACTGCAATGTATAGCGACATTACAATATTTATTAATTAATTATAATAAAGTTTTTTGTATTTCCCAATGAATGAAAAAGAGCAAAACGATATTGTTGTTTTTACTGACGTTTCGCTATTTAATGCTAATAGCTTTATCAAAGAAGTATTATTAAACCGGAATCTACAAAATCTCATCTTATATATATAGCAAAGAGTTAAGAGTTGAGAAAATAGACTCCTTAGGTCAAGTTAGAAGCACATATGGAAGGTCAAAATAACAATGAAGATCACTAAACCAAATAACAAAGGTAATAGTACATCTGTTATGGTATCAAAACAAAGTTTACTAACTTGATCATCGTTCGTCAATCTGGGGTCATTTTTCGTTGTCAAGTTGGCTAATTGGTAAAGATAACAAAACCAGGTGTAGATTGTTGGATTTGATAAGCGTGTAAAATTGTAAAAACAGCATGTGTTTACATAGTGAACTTGCTTATTACATTCGTGTTGATTTGTCACTTCGTGGGGGAGGAGAGGGAGGTGTTGTAACCAGGTCAGATTCTGTTTTAGTCCATCATTCCTATTCAGCCAAGACAATTTGGACTCCACTTGATATGAAGTGCTTCTGATATTAGACGTTCTTTGTGATTTCTGAAGTTTTTCTGGATTATTTCAATATTGTCGAAATCAATTATGTGGCCTGATTCTATAGCGTGTAGACGACCTATGGCTGATGATTTTTCAAGTTTTTCTAGTTCAACTGGATTTCTCGGTGGTCTAAGAGATGCTCTACGATGTTCACTTCTTCTGATTTTGATTTCTCGAGATGTTTGTCCGATGTATATCGCATCACATTCCAATCATTTTACTTTATAGACACAATTAGATAGAGAATCTTTAGGGATTTTGTCTTTTATATGGACAAGGTTGTTTCGCAGTGTGTCTGATGTTTTGAAGAAAACTCTAATGTCGAGCTGATTGAGTACTCTTCTCTTCTGATATTGTCTGACGTCTCTGCTCTGTGTGGAATGACGACTGTTGTTTGTTTTGTTTTCTTTACCAAATGACCAACCTGACAACGAAAAATGACCCCAGATTGACGAACGATGATCAAGTTAGTAAACTTTGTTTTGATACCATAACAGATGTACTATTACCTTTGTTATTTGGTTTAGTGATCTTCATTGTTATTTTGACTTTCAATATATATATATATATATATATATATATATATGTATATATATCCTTTTAACTTGACCTAAGTCTATTTTCTCACCTCTTAACTCTTTGTTATATATATGCTGAGATTTTGTAGATTCCAGTTTAATAATACTTAGATAAAGCTATTGGCATTAAATAGCGAAACGCAAGTAAAAATAACAATATCGTTTTGTTTTTCATTCATTGGGAAATGCAATAAGAAACATTTATTATAATGAATATCATATATCCAATGCCCAAATTTTTTCAAACTGTTAAAAGTGAACTTGGTTTGGACATATATAATTTATTAATTAAGATTATATTTGAAACTGAAAAAAAAGCTTGATGTGTTTACTCTAACACACCTTTTGTTTAATTGGTTTTCTTACTCTTCGTTTTATAAATATATACAGTGCTCGTTTGTCCGAAATCAGTTATGTATTCAAGGCATTGACAGTTATGCTGACATCACTTCAGTCTGTCCCAATCCAACAAGACGGTAAGTTAAGTGTGTTTATTTATTTTTTAGTGAACATAAAAAATTATTTTACTCGATTGTGTCTGTATGTGTGCCGCTGATCAACTGTTAGAATGGAATACTCGCCAACTAAACAAGTGGTTTAGGTCTCACCAGTCGCCGACTCGATCTTCAGTATTGTGTAATCGTCAGTAATCCCGGATGAAAACAAAACCCAAGTCACCACTACTACTGGAACTTCACAACTCAACCTTGAAATCCACTTGGAACGCAAAGTAATGAAAAGTGGGAATGTGACTGGGTTCATCGACTGGCTTTCACACACCTCCATGTTCCTCTATTTTCTGATGTCCTCTTCATCTGACTGACCACACGATAACCCAAAATCTCTCATCTCCTCCTCCTCTCCAACGCACAATCTCCTCCATGTCACCACCGCACAGACGACCCATTCGTCGTTTCTCATTTGGGTTCCACTCGAACAATGGCCTGCAACGCGCCGATGTCATTCGACGGTCACCACTGTATGTCCGCAACACATCTCCATTTTCTTCTAAATATTTGTTCAGCAATCGGCTCTCCTTTGCTGGTTTCTTGCAATCTAGAGTTTCCTGTTGCTAATTGTTTCCGGCCGGTCGGCCTGCTGCACACTGTCATTCATTTCACCGAGAGACAGCTTCTCCAGCCATGATGAGTTCTCGTCTTGTGTTATCTGCTCCAAGTTCAGCTGAAATTCAAATTGTCCGCACGGATTTTGATGTCACCATTTGGGATGTTTTCCATTACTGCTTACACGTGTCTATAGAAATCTCCCTTCTTCTTCTTCCCTTCTGAGTCGTTTGTAGCATTGTGCATATCATTGGATGGTTGTGCCTTTCCTCCCCTATGAGTTGAATCTTGTTGTTATTATCCTGTAGGAGGAGATTGGTTGCCACTCCACACGAGAGCCTTGTCTGCTTACTGTTGGTGACATCATGATATCCACTCACTGCCTCAATGTGCTTGTGGTTGTCGTGTGAAAGTGGTTAGTTGAGTAGATTATTGGCTCTCCAGTTGACACTTTGGCTAGTCCACATCGACTTCATCTGCTCTCGCAGATTCCCAAAACTTCCATCCTTTATCTTCTCATATCGTCAGCTACCTGGGCAGCCTTCTCGGTTTCGTGCACTGTATGAACACTCCTCGTGCCCATTCTTATTCTTCCTTTCATTGCGGGAAGACACATTGACTGACCTACTGGCTTTCACCAGCCCATGTCATTTCGACTCTCCAACTCCAGCGAAGAATAAAACTGTTATTTGAATTTTTTGTGTTTTTAATATATTTTTTGTGCGTTGAAGTTTCTATATTTTTTGGTTAGTTTTCTGTGGTAGGGTCGCTAACCCCACTCCTGTCCAACTCTCCATCTCTACGGAGGATTGGCACCGGATAGTAAACTAGTGAGTTAGCACTCTAGGCGAGGTTTTTTTCCCGGTACATTTGATAAATTAAATCAGTATCATTGCAGTATTGTAAATCAGGCATTTATATGTTTCGGCTGTTTAAAAAATGATAACGTGCCATTCTCGTTTTATCTGCGCATACGAATCAACACTGAAGCTTCTGGGGCATGGTCTTTACTGATGAACAGTCGTAGAGTGTGACAAATCACCTGTCCAGTGGTTTTTGCTTTTCAGTGAACTTTAAGTGGTATTGCTTGGTGACGAAATTCACTGAAACTACTTGATTCTACCTCCTCTATGCTGTATCTACCTATTTGACTGCAGCTACAGTGTGGCGTACATTTAAGCAGGTTCATCATCGTATTTCCTAACATCATCCTGTATAGTGTGGTTAAGCAAAGGAAAAACAAGATCTTTTCATAATATTGTTTTGGTTTCTTATTTTTTGTTACTCAAATCATAACCACTGAAATTGTCACACTTACACTTACAAGGTGGTTATAAAAGACAGAAAAAGTTTATTGCGTCACATCATTGAGAAAACAAGCATGTTTTATAATCAGAAAAAGATTAACAAGTTCGTGTATACAATTTTTCTGGTTGATTTACACTTGTAAAGCTTCAACAAAACTTTATGGCATCTAGACTGCCTACGCTAGAAAAGCTCACACACTCTCTCTCCCTCTCTGTGTCCTTCAAAAATCAGACTTGTGAACATGACTTCACAATGTAACAATCACGAAAGTTTATTTTTAATTAGGCTCGCCTAGTTTACTAGCTCACTAGTTTACTATCCGGTGCCAAGCCCCTGTAGAGATGGAGAGTTGGACAGGAGTGGGGTTAGCGACCCTACCACAGAAAACTAACCAAAAAATATAGAAACTTCAACGCACAAAAATTATATTAAAAACACAAAAAATTCAAATAACAGTTTTATTCTTCGCTGGAGTTGGAGAGTCGAAATGACATGGGCTGGTGAAAGCCAGTAGGTCAGTCAATGTGTCTTCCCGCAATGAAAGGAAGAATAAGAATGGGCACGAGGAGTGTTCATACAGTGCACGAAACCGAGAAGGCTGCCCAGGTAGCTGACGATATGAGAAGATAAAGGATGGAAGTTTTGGGAATCTGCGAGAGCAGATGAAGTCGATGTGGACTAGCCAAAGTGTCAACTGGAGAGCCAATAATCTACTCAACTAACCACTTTCACACGACAACCACAAGCACATTGAGGCAGTGAGTGGATATCATGATGTCACCAACAGTAAGCAGACAAGGCTCTCGTGTGGAGTGGCAACCAATCTCCTCCTACAGGATAATAACAACAAGATTCAACTCATAGGGGAGGAAAGGCACAACCATCCAATGATATGCACAATGCTACAAACGACTCAGAAGAGAAGAAGAAGAAGGGAGATTTCTATAGACACGTGTAAGCAGTAATGGACAACATCCCAAATGGTGACATCAAAATCCGTGCGGACAATTTGAATTTCAGCTGAACTTGGAGCAGATAACACAAGACGAGAACTCATCATGGCTGGAGAAGCTGTCTCTCGATGAAAAGGATGAAAAGAGAGAACTCTTTGCAGACTTTTGCGCTGTTAGTGATTTGGTGGTCGGAGACTGCATGTACAAGTACAATCATTTACATAAGGCAACATGGATTTCACCTGACGGACACACCATAATTCAGACAGATTTCATCTGAATGCCGCTCAAGAAAGTGGAGACGCAGTCTGTTAGATACAAAGTCAGCAAGGGCAGTATATGTGGGCCCAGAGCATCACCTAGTTCACGGAGCCTTCCAGCTGAAGCTGGAATCCCTGAAAACAACTGGAGGCAGGCTACAATTCAAGTTCAACATTCAGAAACTCGACAGAGGGACAAAACTACAAGGAATGCCTTCACTACAGATCAGATCAGAGCAAAGTCGGAGACACTAAATGGCATCACTGAGGAAACCTGTGTAGAAGAACATTGGAACTCTCTGAAGGTGCCGATCAGGGAAACGTTGACAACTGTTCTAGGAAGAAAGAAGAGTGAAGAGAAGGAATGGATCTCAATGGACACCTACCTGGAAGCTAATAGAAGACAGGAGAGGAGGATGGTGGAAGAGGAAATGATTCAACAGAAAGATGGACAAGAGAAGGGGAAGCTAAGCTCAATGTATATCGAACTGAATGAAGAAGTGAGGAAGAGTGCCAGGAAAGATAAAAGACAATTCTACAACACACTGACTGACGGTGGGTGCTTACTGCTCAAGAGTCCGAAACTAGGACGAAACACCTGTCCAGTACTCCTCACAGGTTTTCCAATGGTTCTCTAACTGATGTCATGCTCATAACGAAAACCTTCAACTAATGGATTTATAATTGTAGTGTCTGAAGGAGAATTTATTAAAATCATCACAGTTGTTCACTCTAACTATTTTTGTTCTGAATAACTTACGAGGATATTCAAATTATTATTTATATCCCAGTAAATAGTACTGTTTCACTGCACGGTATATCTAATAAAAACAAAAAATAATATGGGATCTATCTTCAACAGTTTAGGTATTTGATATGTAGTCACATGATATCTGCTTTTTGTTTGCCAGTCTGATATGGTTTGATATATGTCTATTGTTCGTTAGTCAGTAATGACTCACAGTCTATCTTGTTTGTCTATTAACTAAATAACAATGATGTATGACCTTTGTCACATGACATTGCAATCAATCAGAATCCAGTGGGGGTGAGAAAAAAACTACTTGATCTATCGTATTGGATCATGTATGTTAGTTATATGCTTATACTTTGTATTGTACTGTACTGTACAATTGATTGACACACTTGTGTGACAGCTTCCATTGTTGGAATAATGTACATGTCGTTCGTCAACGACATGTGAGTCTTCAAAATTGCTCTTCGGGTCAGGGAAATTTAACTATCACTTAGCGATACCAGTCGTTCTAAAATCATCCGTTGTATCTCGTTAGTCAATATCTATACTCGATCACTCCATAACAGTATTTAATTCGTTAGGATACCTAAATAGAAGATTATAGGATAGTTGTGCATCGGTAATTTAGCCTTGTGTAATACCCTCCAGCGAAGCATGCGGGGCGAGAAGTGGTGTAATAATAAACGCGTCTAATATCCTGATTGTTACTACACTGCTGATGGCTTCAGTTTAAAGGAGCCTAAGTAAGCCTTCATTATGGATAAGATTTTATTTTGACAAAATCACACAGCGTAGTGTTATACAGTAATATTTACTACTGATGACCACATGCTTCGAGCACAATTTATCACTGCTAATAAATGGCATATCAAGGTACTACTGGCACAACTCTTGCTTCATCATTTATCTACATGAGATATAAGATAAAGTACATTCGGAAATAATATTAGTGTTATTAATCAAATACAATCAGATGGGAAATAAGATGTTTTTATATTAAATAAATAAATAAATAACTTGCTAGAATGTTAAAATGTGAATTGAGTCGAAAACATTTTAACATTATTTATTATCCTCTGATTTGACTGGTGGTAAACATTATCTTCCATATCTCTGGCATTTATGTTGAGTCATTTCTCTGTTGCATGTGGTGAAACTAATAATTATAACATAAACAAGAAAGAATATAAAGCATCTACAATTTAGGTCATATAAGGATGGAAAGGACATCTGAAACCCTCAGCACGTAGGATTCTTAACAAAGAAGGAATTAGGGTGGCATTAAAACCTACAAACTCACTCACTCAGGCAGGAAAAAGCTCTGTAGGTTAAAGGACCCTGTCGGTTGACCCAATTAGACAAAATAATATAATTCACAAAATACCTTGCAATGACTGTGAGTGAGGTCAACCATATAGGTCAAACTGGTAGATCGGGGCTGGTCGCATTTTCTGTCAGAATATAAGAATTCGGTTGAGGTTAGAGTGATTCATCCCACAAAGACGATGAAAGCAAAAATAAGGATGGGGACGTGGAATGTTCTTACAATGTACGAAGCTGGAAAGGCTGCCCAGGTAGCCGCAGAAATGAGAAGATATGGAATAGAAGTGTTGGGAATCTGCGATAGCAGATGGAACGGATGTGGAAGGTGCAAACTATCAACTGGAGAGACAATAATCTATTCCGGTCACCCAGAGGACAACCATGAGCACACCGAGGGAGTGGCCATCATGATGTCACCAACAGCAACCAAAGCTCTCATGCAGTGGGAACCAATCTCCTCCAGGATAATAACAGCTAGGTTCAACCCAAAAGGAAGGAAGGTTACAGTTGCACAAAGACAGATAAGTAATTTAGAAAAAAGCTCAGCAATTGCACTGCATGCATACATTAACACACAATCACACAATAGTGTGGTGGGAGAGGGCTAAATTCTAAGAAGTAATATTGGTAAGTGGAGACAGAGAGGTTGATTACTGAATCCTTGTTTATCGAGTCTACTAAAATCAACACATGCGTAATATAAGTGACTCAATGCAAATACCAGAGATATGGAAGATATTATTACCATCTGTCAAATCAGAGGATAATAAATAATGTTAAAATATATTGACATTATAACATTCTAACAAGTTGTTCATTTATTTTACTATAAAAACATCTTATTTCCCATCTGATTGACAACACTAATATTATTTCCGAATGTACTTTATCTTATATCTCATGTATATAAACGACGAAGCAAGAAAGCTGTGTGAGTAGTTCGTTGATAATGAGATTATGAGCAGTAATAAATTGTGCTCGAAGCATGTGGCTATCAGCAGTAAATATTACTGTATAACAAACACACTGTGTGATTTTATCAAAATAAAATTTTTATCCATAATGGAGTTATACTTCAGTATAGTACCCAAGTTTTATACTTAGATTAAGTAAGGCTTGTCTCAAAACCAATGATGATAGTGATGATGATGATGGCATTACTGAATCCCCTTCTCAACCAACACATTGCATAATGAATAAATTACAGGTGTGTGTTGTGACCACATAGTATGTTTGCAAACAACTATTTTTTAATATTTATTTGCTCGTGTAATAATTCATTCTACCTTGTATTTTTGTCTTTATATCTATCTGTCGGGAATCATGTTGTTGGTCGGGGCGCATCTGTCGGTGCATCTCTGTATGAAATACGCACATACAGTAGATGATTCAATCTGGTCCAGTGTTATCGAATTATATCCACATATTGTTGACTGTGTTCTTGTCGCTGGGGGAAGTAATCAAATGGCATTAGCATTGCATCATCTACTACGGTTGTATGGGGAATTTCTGGCTCCGTTACATTTGGCCACAGGAAATGCTAATGATACTACTAATAAGCAGTATAATAGTAGTAGTAGTGTCCAGAATAACATTAACAGCTTGAATTATTCGAATGACATCTCCACTAGCAGCAGTATGCATCAGAATAAACCAACATCTTTGAATGGAATTCAATGAATTTTGAAGTGAATGTTTTTTTAACCCCCTACCGCCTCACACACACACTTTTTTTAATTTTTACCTTTTTTCATGTGATAATTTTTTTTTAAATGAGGCTGTGGCATGGGAATACTTTGGTTTCTCTCTCTCTATCTCTTCTTTGTGCTTTTTTTTATTAAAAAAAGAAACACAGTTATTTAGTGGTTTGGTTGCTTCTCTCTTCCTCTGTCGTTTTTTTTTTTACAACTGACTGTTCCGTTCAAGTGTTTTTCTTTTATAATGATTAACCACTATTCTTCTGCTTTCCCACGACACTCACACATACCCACCCACATACACACACACACACGCATAACAGAGAGGCAGTTGTCTGCTTATGAGTACTACTACTCTTCCTCCTCTTCCGCCGCCGCTGCCGCCGAATTGTTTACTTTGATAACTTCCACTGTTGTTTTTGTTTTTAAAAATAATAAAGGTATATATATTTGTGTGTGTGTGTGTATTGCAATGTGATAGTAAATAAATGCGATGATGATGATGAACAGTTCAACTTGATCAGATTGTATAATGAATGACAGGAATATATATTTCTTGTCTATTGTCTACGGTCTTTATTCTTATTTGTTTCTATTGGATTTGTAAAATAAACTTATATATGTATATTAACTACTGAGGCTTGATTGAATTCTCCATACATGTTTTAACTAATAAGAGATATGTAATTAGAATTTAATCTGTGGATGGTGACTCGCAGTGGAATAGTCTAGGATAACGTGCATTTTGTCCCCTACTTGGGACTCGTCAGCTGGATGTGCCTGCATTTCACAGTGAGTGATGATGTTCCCACCGAGGCTGAAACCCAGTGCCCACAGTTTCAAGCGCCAGAGCGTTATCCACTGGACCACTTGGGCCACGAGGGCCACCTCTCAGTGGAAACATCATCACTCACTGGGAAATGCAGGCACATCCAGCTGACTGGTGAGTCCCAAATAGGACGAAATTCGCGTTATCCTGGATTACTCCACTGCTAGTCACCATTCTCAAATTAAATTCTAATTCAATGCCCAGACATCGTCGAAACATCTGCACAAGAAGTCAACAGACATGTCAACCTGAGACCGAGCACTTCGATCCAATCAATCGACAGGAAAATCTAAAATCCAATTAAATAATCAGAGATATGGTACATATGATTGAAATAATGACAATACATTGAAGATGTACGTTTGTGCGTGTATGTGTGTGTGCGCGTGACAGAATAAAAAAGGCAAATGGTTGAAGCATTGCTTTTATTTCGAAGTTAGCTAAAATACAGAGAAGGTGTATCCCATCTTTATGATTCGTATTGCTTTTGTTTCCGAGTGGAACATACGGCTTCAACAAGACATCTTCACTTTCTTCTATTTGGTGCTAACCTCTCCAGTGGGTCTAACCCCACGATTACCCACAGTCTCTCATCTCCTCCTCCCGAACACACATCGCACTGACTACCTACTCGTCACCTCCCATTGGGCTTCCACTCAAGCAATGGCCTGCATTGGGTGCAATATCATTCGGCAGCTTCCTCAGCGTATACTCAATCCATCTCTATTATTTTCCTCTGCATATTTATTGAGGAATCGGCTCTCGCCTGTTGGTTTGTTGCTGGCTAGAGTTTTTTATTGCTAATTGTTTCTGGACGACCGGTCGGCTGGCCATTTGATCTTCAGTATGAAGCCAGCCAGTGAATTGGGCAGCTAGCTAGCTGGATGATGGAAATGCTTTTCGTGATGGGCTGTGCAAGTTTCAGACGCATATAGAAGCAGTGACTGACTGACTGACTTCACATTTGTGTTGAAATAGAATCCGAATCTTGTTGTTTATGCTGAGGTGGTCTCTCTCTCTCAATTCATGCTTTCATATCTTTCATGTTACGTCACATTATAGTTGATTTTACACTACTTCAATAGTAGAGCCTTAACTACTATGAGTTAGATACACGAATTCCCCTTAAGGAATTTCAACAGAGCAAAAGTAACACATGGTGTGCATGGGGGGGGCAGGGGTTAAAACGGATCCATTGTGTATTTCATGCATAATCTCCATCCAGGCATTCATTTTCTTAGCTGTACAATCGCAAATGTATATGTGTTATTTTGTATGTATGTGTAGATTAAGTTTGTCAAACAAAAAATACAATTGGTTATGGTTATTTGAACTAAACAGGTGAAGATTGGTAATTGGAGTTACGTAATACAAAATCAGCCAAGAAAATTTGGTGTTAATGAAATTAGAGTAGTAACAAAGGTGATGAGTTGTCACAAACAGTTGTTAAAAAAAAGAAGTTATGTAATAATATGAATAGTTTGATGATTGAGTTATACTCAGGATACACATAAGAACAAAGTGGAGAACAGGAAATTACGTAAGAGTTCTAAATGAATACAAGAATTATAAGCAATTAAAGAAACAGGCAATCAAACAAAATTAAGTCATTAAAAATCAATAAAGTTGTTACGATGACAGTAGAAGTGGTTGAGTAATTCTCTTTTGTATGCACAGCTCCGGTTTTCCTGTGTAATACATTGGTATCTTGTCAGCTACATTGAAATTTAATAGTTCTATTACTGTTTTAATATACTTCATAACACCAGATACAAAATGAGGAACACTAATTAAGAATGGTATGTAGATGAATCAAATGTTAATAAAATGTAATATATTACTGTACTTTTACATGTCTAATGTAATCTAAAATATGAAAAGGGGGGAGGAAGGGTAACAACAAGATATTGAGGTGCATAAATGACAAGTTTATCTAAGTCATTAGAAAATTGTTAATACAAGAATGAGATATGAAAATTGATCTGATGCTTCGCTACATGACAGAGTTTCCTGGAGTTCTAGTGAGAAGGTGTGACCAGTGAAGGTGTATCTAGTGGGAAGTGAAGATGGAGTTCCCGCTGATGACATTAGTTGGCGCTAGTTGCATTAAAAATCACGAATTGGTAGAAATTAGAATTCATGGGCTGGTCGTTGAGGTGTCGTGTCCCAATGGCTGAAGAATAGTCTACGAGCTTGCTAGCCTTGTAACCGGAAGGTCTTCATTTCGAGCCCGTGTGATGGGTGTGCATTGATGAAACGTCAATCCCATAGTAGGCTGACGAAACAGCTGGTTGTCCAGTACTCTGGTGTTGGTTTCCAATGGTTCTCTAACTGTTATCAATCTGTGGTCTAACTCGGAAAAAAAAAATATAATCCATACAAATCAACTCTTGAGACGATATGGAAGAGAAAAATTTGAGCTAAGCTCATTTGGTTAGATGCCAGACATATGAAGCCCTCCAGCATTTATTAAACGGTAGTATTACTAATTATTAAGGTTAAAAGATGAGTTCCCAAAGTAGAGAAAGGCCTACTACAATTTCTCTTTACACCCACACAAATTCAGGTTGTAATTGTGTGATAGTGATGGCCTATGGGAACTTCAAGAGACTTGAGCTTGATTGTTTGTTTAATAATTTGAAAGAATTCAAGTGTTAGTTTGTAGGGATTTGATTGGCTACAGGATTTTCATCATGATGTCCTGTGTCAATCAGATGTCTTATCACTGCATGGTTCAACGATTTATTTCCCTCTTAATCATAGACTTTTCGATATGTGTTCAGAAAATCCATGATAGGCCTTTCCTTCTGTTCTTCTAATGCTTTATTTCCCTACATCAGCTTTACGTGAATTAAGATTATCTAACAAATTCAAACGACATGCTGCTTATTTACATGCAGCTTTATAGGTAACAAACACTTATATCTCTGACTTTTTAATTTGATTTGTAGTAATGGTTGAATAGAGAGGGCAAGTAATCCTTAAATACCTTAGATATTCACTGAGTGTACTGTTTATCAGTTGAATATACAGGATATCTCAATCGCATTGTCAAATATCCAGATCGTAGAGATCCTGGACCCATGGCTAGTTTCAGAAGACTAAGCCTAATTAATACTCAAGTACCGACACGGAAAAAAAAACAGAAAACAGTTAGGCAATACGATTGTTTATCCTTCAAGCGATAATAAAACAGGTTCGCATACAATGATTAATCAGTGCCAAAGTCTGTAAATAAATATTGATATTATAATGTACAACAATACTTCTGATCGTATTTCGCCAATCTTCTGCCAACCAGTACACGGTCGATTTAGCAATGACAGTCTTTGCTTGTCTCCTGCCAGTATGAAGACAAGTTCGAACAAACATGCGACTCAGGGTTTTTGATATAATAAGAATAGAACTTGTGTACTGTGGTAGAGTATAACTCCTTATGATTATGAGAAATAAGTTGTGCTCGAAAAATAGTCATCGGTAAATATTACTGTATAACACTACACTGTGAGACTTTATCAAAATAAATTTGACCCATAATGGATTCAATGTTCACCAACATTGACATCCATCTTGTTGAATGATAGTGGTGTCGTGGAAGAGAAATTGATATTACGTGTGAAGGAAGACATTTATGGTGGTGTGATACAGACAATGGGTTCCAACGGAATATTATTCTCAGATATTCCAACAGTTCAATACTGCATTAGCAACAGAATACTGCATATGTATTTGAACATTCTATTTCATGTCGTTTAATGTAGACCAAAATCACAAGCTCAGTGATCGGTTAAAGAATATAAACTGTATATGTGTAAATAGCGGTTTGATCAGTTGAAAATATGCATTGGCTTCCGTGTCTTGTCTTCTGCTGTTACACATTCACCTCCTTGTTGAAGACGGATGATTCTTTCTAAGTAATAGATTAAGATTATTCTTTGTCAGTATTTTGTACGTTAATCTAGTGAATGCTTAATAAAATTAGTAAGTGTACTTTGATAAAGCTTGTCAATATCCTTCTGTAACAACAGAAGACAAGGCTGGCAACAGATCAGTTTTATTACGAAAACCAACAGGTATTTATATGTATTTTACGTACATTAATAGGCTTCTGCCCGCAGAAAGAAGGCGGTCTTCTGATTGGTTCTTTGCACACAAACGCAGTCTTCTGCTTTCTCGTTTTCGATGTTTCTCGGAAATGCGAGCCACTTGTCTGCGAATCATATTTGTCCATGTCAAGGTCAGCTGTGATTGGTCCTTGAATCAGCCTAGATTAATTTCTACCAATCAGCGTAGATCAATGT